TCCCTCCTCCCTCCCTCCCTCCCTCCCTTCCCGTCCCTCCCTCCTCCTCCCTCTCCTCCCTCCCTCCCTCCTCCCTCCTCTCCCTCCTCCCTCCTTCTGCCGATGCCGTCTTTTCACCAGACCCTCACCTTTGAAGCCATGCTGTGATGGTTCCTTACCCAGAGAAACTCGCAGGTCGCACTGGCAGCCAGGGTGCAGCGGAGACGTGAAGTCGTTGCTGTCAGCGTCTCTGTCGAGTGTTGGCGGAGACGAAGAGAAAGACGTTGATGAGAGCCCGAGGTTGAAAGAAGAGGTAGCTCCTCCACATGCTCGAGGTACCGTCAGCCTCAAACTCATGCTCGCGCTGACAAGTGCGACAGACGACGAGAGGAACAAGAGCAGCATGGAAGCGGAAGACAATGACGAAGACGCTGACGTCCTGACGTCAGAGATGAGAAAGGAGGGCCCTTGGAAGGCTTCGCCCTGCCATAGACTTGACGTCGGGACGGGAGGAGTCCTCCTCATAGCCAAGACAAGAAACGTCGCCTCCTCCTCCTCCTCCTCCGCTGCCAGCCGCCACTGCGGCAGCCCGCTCCAAGATGAAATGTGATTTCTTTGCATGTAACAGTCGCAAAGATCAAGTGATAATTGCTTCATTGCCTGTGACATCGGCAAGCGTGATTAAAAGTTGAATCCGAATCCGAATGCGGCTGTATCACATTTATTCATGTTTCATTCATACCTGACATCATCGCATAACATTCAGCGTGTTCAAGAAATCGTCGTACTCCTACACACTCATCATATATCGACTTCGTGTCAGTGCAGATCATAACAACTCACCACAGTCTCTTGTTGTCTCCTAGCGTTCCAAGCTGTGTTGTATTCTTCCACCTGGTGGCGATAAGAAGCGTTGTTTATGTTCGACAAGATTTTCTCTCTTTGGGTAAAGAGGTACGCCAAAAGTAACAGCATGTAGCCATATCCAGTCGCCCAAACCACATATGACATCAGCAGCGATTCATCTGGAATGCCAAGAAGAAAGAGGTAACAATGGAACGGAGTGAACAGGCAGACAAAGACGATCCCCAGGCTGTTCGGATTCCACTGATACACCTGCGCATGAAATCATTATGT